TATTAGAATAGTTTCTCAAGGGAGGCATGGATGATCTGGATTTTTGCAAGGTGTGTTCTGATTTCACCTTTTTCATCCCTAATTGCATGGATTTGAGTCTTTTCTTCCTTTTTTTGATAAGGTTGGCTAAGAGTTTGCCAATTTTATTTAATCTTTCAAAGAACCAACTCTTTGATTCATTGATTCTTTGTATTATTTTTTTAGTCTCCATTGAGTTAATTTCTGCTCTGATTTCCATAATTTCCTCCCTCATATGGGCTTTAGGGTCAACTTGCTCTTCCATTTTCTAGAAGCTTAAGATTCTACATTAGGTTGTTTGAGCCTGCTCTGTTTTCCTGATATGGGTATTCACTGCTATAAGTTTCCTTTGTAGTACTACTTTCATTGCACCCCATAAGTTCTGGTATTTTGTATTGTCATTATTGTTTAATTTTAGAAACAATTTCTAATTTCTTTTTTAATTTCATTTATGACTCGCTAGTTGTTCAGGAAGGTGTTATTTAATTTCCATGCGTTTATAAATTTTTTGTGGTTTCTTTTGACCTTGATTTCCAATTTTATTGCACTATGGTCTGATAATATGCATGAGATAATTTCAATTCCTTTGCATTTACTTAAGCATGTTCTATGAGCTAGTATGTGGTCTAATTTGGAGAAAGTCCCATGCAACTGAGAAGAATGTGTATTCTGATGTTGTGGGATAGAACACTTTGTAGCTATCTACTAAGCCCATTTGTTCAAAAGTTTGGTTCTGTTCTGATATTTCTTTGTTGATTTTTTTTGTCTAATTGGCCTGTCTACTTGTGACAGTAGGGTATTGAGATCCTCCTTTACATCTGTATTAATGCTTATTTGATTTTTTATGTCTGTTAATATTTGTTTTTATAGTCGGGTGAATTGGTATTTAGTGCATATATACATTTATGATTATTATGTTTTCCTCTTGAATTTTTCCCTTTACAAGGATGTAGTAACCTTTTTTGTCTCTCTTAATCAATCTTGGCTTGAAATCTACTTTTTTTCTGGGTTTCTGTCACATGGGGTATTATTTTAGATCCTTTGACTTTCAGTCTATGAATTTCTTTTACTAAATGTGTTTCTTGTATATTGTTGGATCTTCCCCCTTGATCCATTCTGCCAGTCTGTTTCTTTTTATTGGTGAATTTAGACCATTTACTTTGATGACTATAACTGATACATATTGACATATCCTTGTCACGTTATTTTCCTGTTGTTGGTTCCTTTTTTTCCCTCTCTGTTTAATTACTTGCCTTGCCTGATGGATTCATTCTGTTGTGGTTCATGTTGTCATCCTCATTATCTCTTTCTAGAATGTCCTTCAGAACACTTTGGAGTGGTCATTAATTCCTTCAAGCGTTCTTTGCTATGGTAGTATCTTATTTTTCCATCAATTTTGAAAGATAGTTTTGTCAGGTACATCAGTCTGGGGTTGGAAGTTGTTCTCTTAGGGCTTGACATACTTCACTCTGATCTGTCCTTGACTTGAGGGTTTGTGTTAAGAAGTTTGCCATGGGATAATGGGCTTTCTTTTATGTGTGATTTGTTTCTTTTCTCTAACAGCTTTTAATATTCTGCCCTTGTGTTGAATTTCTGGAATCTAGACTATTATATGCCTTGGTGTAGTTTTTTAAAATCATAGCTAATTCGAATTCTATATGCCTTATTTATCTGTATGTCAAGTTACTTTTCTGTGCTTAGAAAGTTTTCTGTCATTACTTCTGTGAACAGGATTTTTATGTCATTTGTGCTATCTCCTGCTTTTTCATTGACTCCACCCAATCTTATGTTATTCTTCTTATGTCATCTAGCAACTGTTGGATTGATTTTTTGTGGTCCCTTGTTATTTTTAAGAAATGTTTCTTTTCATAATTGCTAACCTCAATTCTTTCTTCTGTATCTGACATTCTGTCCTCACATTGGGTCATTTTGCTGTATATACTTGCAGTTGAATAGATATCCTGGATATCTGTTTCATTGATTGCATTTCCCTCCTATGTTGGACAATAATGGTTTCCATAATTTTGCTAAGATCCTCTATTTTTTAATCTGTATCTGCTCTAGAGTCACTGACTATATCTTTCATTATGGTCACCCTCTCTGTAGTTATCTGAGAGATTAATTCTGATCTGATTTTTTTCTATGATCTCATTTATCTGCTTTGTTACTTCCACTGTTACCACTTCAGAGAGTCCAGAAGAGTTACTCTCAAATTGTTCCACATTATTGCCATCTTAGTTTGCCTTTGGTGAGCTGGAAGTCTGGGGTTTCATCTTACCTAAGTGTCTTCTCATTTCTTTTCTTTTAGTTTAATTTTTGGATTGATGCTTATAAATTGCTTATGACAAATAGCTTTATTGCTAGTATTTAGAAGCCTTAGGGAATGACCACTTCTCAGAGATGTCTTTCAGGCTTTTGGGTTTTGAGTCTGTTGCAGGATCCTACCTCCTCAACTTATGGGAGATGAGAAGTTGCTGCATATTTGGCCTAGCCACTTGTTCTTTGGCACTGGCCTATAATATTGATTATGACCCTTAGGCAGTGTCAGTCTTGGCATATCAGGAAGAACTGATTAGAACAATTATGTTACCTTGGCTAAAGTAATACAAACAGCAACAACAATAGCATCAAATACAGCCTAGAAAATGACAAGCTATGGTAACTATTTATTTCCCACTTTTAACTGGATGAACTATATTTGTGGCTATGTAACAAAATCTAAAACACACCAGAAAATTGTGTAGAGTAAATATGCCCTCAATATGGTGATTTTATCCTCAGGGGAGAAAATTTAAAAGAGTTAGGGGGAAAATATAGAAATAGAAGAAGAGGAAGAGGAAGGGATTAGAAGCAGGCTGGAGGACAACGATCATGCAAACTTTGGGAAACCAGTGAAGAAGACAGATGGGAAAGAGGGAAGAAATAAAAAACAAGAATAGAAAAACAACAAGAAAGCTAGAAACAATGTTCATACTCATATAAAAACAAGAACAATCAAGAAAAAAAGAAAACAAAAAACAAGAAATGCAAAAAGAAGAAAAACAATGTCCACTTCAGGACATCACTGATAGACAGAGTGGGCAGACAGAGCCAAGATCTGTGCTAATTAGTTAAGTTAGCAAACCAGGGGTAGATTCACAGTGGGGTAGTGGGTAATCCCAGCAAGTCTACACCTTTAGTTCCACTGAAGTTCAGGCTAGTTTCTGGCTGTGAGGCTGGAATCTGATTTATTCAGCCTACAACAATCTGTGTGCCTCCTGCCAGCTTGAATTTGGCTCCCCACTGACTTGAACTCAGCTCTTTGACCTCCTACCAACTTAAACTTGGTTCTGCCTCACCCTGACACTGGGAGCTACTAGATGGAGACAGCCTGCAGCTGCTCTGAGTTCTGAGTTCATTTGGCCTCTCTCCAAGATGGCTACTGGCCAATTATCCTCTCCTGGGGGACATCTGAACCTGAATAACTCACCAGCCACTACAGTATGCTGCATCCACTGATCCATTCCACTGGTGTGTTCCTCCAGGACCAGTGGTCACCATGCATATGCACAGTCTAGCCACCCTTCCTATGAAGGGAGTCAGGGCTCAAGGAGAAAGCAATGTTTGCCACCTCCTTCCTCTAAGTTCTGTCTTAACTCTCCTTCTGGGTTTCAATTCTCACTTCAGATCTTTGTTGGGTCTTGGGAACCCATTTCCCTCCTTCTTCTCTTCCTCAAATCACTATATTCCAGCATTTGGACATCAAATCTCAGAGAGGCTGTTTCTCTGCTGTTCACCACTCCACCCTCTTCCCAGAAGACATTCAACTATTTGATCTTTGACAAGGAAGCAAAAAAATACACTGAAGTAAAGGTAGCCTCTTTAATAAATGGTGTCAGGAAAACTTGATATCCAGAAAAATCAGTCTATATTCATATCTCTCACTAAACTAAAATACCATACTAAAATAAAAATGGATCAAAGAACTAAATGTTAGAAAAGAAACAATTAATCTGCTGAAAGATAAAATAAGTAAAACTCTTGAAGGCATAAGATTTTCTGAACAGAACCCCAGTTGCAAAGGAAATAATATGAAGAATCAACAAATGGTAACATATCAAATTTTTAAAACTTCTTCTCAGTGAAAGAAACAACCAACAGAGTGAAAAGAAAACCTAAAGAATGAGTAAAATTGCCAGTATTCCTCAGACAGAGGAATATCTATAATAAAGAACTCCAAAAAATTAGACCCAAAAAATAAAAGACCTAAGCAAAAAATGGGCAAGTGAAATGAGTAAACACTTCACAACAGAACTACAAATGACCAATGAATTCGAGAAGAAATGTTCAACATTGCTGGTTGTTAGAGAAGTGCAAATTAAAACAACGCTGAGATTCCATTTTAACCCAAAAAGAATGGCCATCATCAAGAAATAAAATAATAATAAATGCTGGAGATGGGCTAGGATTTAGCTTAGTGGTTCTGGCACCTGCCTCACAAGCCCAAGATCCCGACTTCAATTCTTGGTTCCAAAAAAACAAAAATAAAACAAGTTAAATAAATGCTGGTGAGGCTGCAGGGAAAAAGGAACCCTTCTACATTGCTGGTAGGAATATAAACTAGTACAACCACTATGGAAATCAGTATGGAAACTCCCCAAAAAATGAAAACTAGAAATTCCATTTGACCCAGATATTCCCCTTCTAGGTATCTTCCTGAAAGAGTTAAGGACATCATATTACAATGATACATGCATACCCATGTTTATAGCAGCACAATTCATAATTGGAAATGGTCTATATTCCCATCTATGAATGGATAGAGAAAATGTGGTATTTACACACAATGGAGTACTACTTTGTCATAAAGAAAGGAAAGCTTGGCACACTCCTCTCATGGCTGCAGAAACCTTGCTGGCGCCAGATAGAGCAGAGCAGTGGGTTCTGTTGGCTGGAGGCTGTGGGTGCTGTGCATTAAGAAAAGCAGACACAGAGAACACTGAAAACTCAGTGGATGCAAAATCCATTAAAGATTTAGAAACAAAGATCATAATGGAAGCAAATCAATGGGCTCCAGAATATCCTTTGAAAACAAATACAAAATGGATTATCCTGAAATGGGTTTATGTATAATAATTAATAAGAAGAACTTTCATAGAAGCACTGGAATATCAGCTCGGTCTGGTACAGATATAGATGCAGCAAACCTCAGAGAAACATTTATGAACTTGAAATATGAAGTAAGGAATAAAAATGATCTTACACATGAAGAAATTGTGGAATTGATGTGCACTGTTTCTAGAGAAGATCATAGCAAAAGGAGCAGCTTTATTTGTGTAATTCTAAGAATAATTGTGGGAACAAATGGACCTATTGACCTGAAAATATTAACAAAATTCTTCAAAGGGGATCTTTGTAGAAGTCTAGCTGGAAAACCCAAACTTTTCATTATTCAGGCCTGCCGGGGTACAGAACTGGACTGTGGCATTGAGACAGACAGTGGTACTGATGATGACATGGCACACCAGAAAATACCAGTAGAGGCTGACTTCTTGTATGTGTATTCCACAGCACCAGGTTACTATTCCTGGCGAAATTCAAAGGATGGATCCTGGTTCACTCAGTCACTTTGTGCTATGCTGACATTGTACGCACACAAGCTTGAATTTATGCACATTCTTACTTGGGTTAACCAGAAGGTAGCAACAGAATTTGAGTCCTTTTCCTATGATTCCACTTTTCATGCAAAGAAACAAATTCCATGTATTGTGTCCATGCTCACAAAAGAACTGTATTTTCATCAGTAAAAAATGGTTGACTTTTTAAAGTTTGTATGTCAAATGAGGAAGCAATATACATGATATTGTATTTCCTTTTCTAATTGAATCCTTCAGATAGTACTTTGAATCATGCTATTTGCCCAGCAAAGAACTACAATGCACCTACATCAAGCTCACCATCAGGTAGTTGAAATTGAATTTATTAGAAATAAATAAATACAGATATTGGTATAATCTTATGAAAAGAAATTATTGTAATTTTACATCTTTCATAATTAGCAACATTTTGTGGTAATATGCTATGAATTTTCAACTAATTATGAGGTCATTAAACTTCACGGTAATGAATTTTAATGATATTCCCTACACACTTAAGACTGTGCACTCTAGTTTGTGTCATACTGTAGAAATGATGATGGGGACTAATGTATCTTAGACCTTGAGGATCCATGGGCATGGTCAAAAGTTGGAAGCTTTATTTTAGAACTGGTGTATGAAAGGGAATCAAGTGCATTTTAAAATTACTTATAGCTCATCGTTTTTGTGATGTTGGTTCTGACAATGTGTTTCTTGTAAAAATAATAATGTTTACTATTGACAAGGAAAGAAAATGTTTCATAGAAAGTATGAGTAAACTGAGCCATTGTTTTAAGGCTAACATGCAATTTTAGTGGAGAAACAGTCATAACTATAAGGTGCTAAGATCTACCAGCATGTTTCTTCTCACTTGTTCTTATGCAAGTCAGATGAAATTTACACACCAGGAAAATATCTGAAGATCTACTATGTAAAAACCTCAAACTAGCTCAGCGGTTTGGTGGCCTGCCTTGCAAGCGCAAGGACCCAAGTTCAATCCCCGGTACCAAAAAATCAAAAACAAACAAAAAAACCTCAAACTATTACTAACTAGGATAATATGAAAAGAAATTCTACAGAAACATTCTAAAATATCATCTGCATAAGAAACAGTGAAATGTAAAGAAAAAACAATAAATGGGTCAGCTGGGCAAGCTGTCATTTCTGAGAAGATGGTTTGAGCCTGAGCAGAGATGTGGCTCTGTCCAAACTAGGCAGAGCTACAGGTGCACTTCAGAAAAGTGCTGCCAGATGATCCTTCAGGCGCATAAAGTGGGTGTGGAAGATACTCCCAAGGCACCCGAGAAAGTGAACCAAGTGAGAAACTTCTAAAATGGAGCTTTTCTGAAGAGTCACAAAAATTGTAATATTCATTGTAGTATAATTTGTAAGCATGCTACTTTCTGTTGAAGTTTACAATCAGTGGGAAAACAGTGGTAATATTTCGTACTGTTACTGGAAATGAAAGGACCACAGCACGTAAGGGTTTCAAAGCATCCAATCAGAGCCTCCCTTGTGCATGTGGGCAAACCGCAGGCCAGCACTCAGCCCCAGCCAGGGAGGCCAGGCTCCAAGCGTCCTCGCTCATGTAGGTGTTCAGCACTGCTGACAGCACCACGTGCTTCACCGGCTTTTAGGCCTACATTTCACATGAACTTGCTTTTGGCTCAAAGAAAGGAACTGACATTTTTAATTGACAACTATTTCTTTTGATAAGATCTATTAACTTTTTCTAAATGTAGCATGTAATGATACCCTAAGGTGAGTTTTGTGTGACAGTTTTGTAAAATTTTTTAATTTGCATTTTTATTTCTGAACATAAATTTAAACTTAGATTAAAAAAAGAAAGATAAGCTTGAGTTATTTGTTGGAAAATTAATGCACCTTGAGACCACAATGTCAAGTGAGATAAATCAGACACACAAGCTTAAATATCACATGGTTTATCTTATATGATAAATCCAGCATAAAAATAAAAAGCAAAATAAAAGATAGATGTAGGGAGACAGGTTGTTCCCAGATAGGGAGGCCATCAAGAGATGGAGGGAAGGAGAGGGAAAGAAGGGGAAGCAAAGTGGGACAAAAACAGAAATTAAGATGTGTTATATACAGATACCAACTCCACACAAGGAATGCAAACATTATGCACTGCAAACACGCTAATAAAAAGCCCCAAAGCTATGATCAGGCACTACCACAGGCTCATAGTCATGGATGAAATTATAGAGTCTGGTGGCAGCAAGTGTCTGCTGAGGACAGGGTAAATGAGCACTCACACCCCCTGCAGGAGTGAGAAATGGCAAAACCACTTCCCACACTGGCAGAGTGCCAGGAAGTTAGCCGCGCCCTTCCAGGTAGCCCAGACCTTTGGTTCTCGTTTACCTGAGGGTGGAAGAGACACATCCTCAGGACAAACAGCTGCAGGCTTTGAGATGTCTGCACAACAGACTATTCCACACTTAGCCTTGGATGCTTTGTGTAAAGCCAAGGGGACACAAGTCATGCTATTTCGCACACATGAAATAACATGATTAGTAAAACCAATCTACAATTTTTGAGTGCTACTCAGTGATTGGACTGGGTGGAGATGATTTATTTCCTGGAGTATAGGGGTCTTCTGGGATGACGGATATGCTGTCTGCTCCATTGTGCTAATGATCAAATGGTATATACATTGGTCAAAATTCCTTTTTAAAAAATTATTTTTATTAGCATGTGTTTATAGTACATAATAATCACATTTATCATGGGAAGTGGGCGCATATACATAGCACATTGCAACTTTTTTTCATCATCCCCTACTCCCTCTCGCCTCCCTGTTCCTTCCAACTTCTGTCCCCTTCCCATTTGAAAAAGCTTTCTTCCTATTTTTTCCTCAGTTTTCCCATCCCCTTTTTCTTTTCTCTCTCCCACATTCCCATTTCACTTGTTACTTTTTTAATTGGATCTTTTATGTGAGGAAGTCTATCTTTTTATATATTCTAGATGTTAGTCCTTTGTCCAAGGAATGGATGGTAAATATTTTTCCCATTCTGTAGGCTGTCTTTTCACTCTTATTTTTTTCCCTTTCTGTGAAGAAGCTTTTTAATTTGATATGATCCCATTTGTTGGTTCTCAGTATTATCTCCTTTGCAGCTGGAGTCCTTTCTTATGTCTGTGTCATCAAGAGTTTAACCCATTTTGTCTTCCAGCAGATTGTTAATGTTTTAACATTTAGACCTTTGATCCATTTTTTAGTTTAGTACACGGTGAAAGATATGGGTTTAAACTCAATCTTCTTCATGTAGATACCCAGCGTTCCCAGCACCACTTATCAAAGAGGCTGTCGTCAGGGTATGTTTCTTGGCTCCTTCATCAAAGGTCAAATAACTGGCACTGGCTCTGGTTGTTTCTTTCATTGTTTCATCGATCCACATGTCTATGTTTTTGCCAGCAGCATACTGTTTTTATCATTGTAACTTTGTAATATAACTTCAAATATGTGATATGATGCCTACTGCTTTGCTTTCATTATCTAGGATTGTTTTTGTTATTCTGGGTCTCCTAGTTCCATATGATTTTAAGATCGTTTTCTTTAGGTATGTGAGGAATGCTGTTGGTGTTTTGATTGTGGTTGAGTTAAATCTACCAGTTTTTGAAGTATAACCATTTTGATTATGTTGGTTCTGCCTATCCAGAAATATGGGATATTTTTTCCATTTTCTTTTTTCCTAAGTCATTTTATTTTATATTTTATTTTATTTTTTGAAACAGGGTCTCGTTTTGTAGTCCAGACTGACCTTGAACTCACTATGTAACCCAGGCTGACCTGGAAGTCATGGCAATCTTCCTGCCTCAGCTTCTTGAGTACTGGGATTACAGGGTGCACCACCATGCCCTGATTTATCTTTCCATTCTCTGATGTCCTCTTTGATCTCTTTTTCAGAGTGATGCAATTATCACTGTAGAGATCTTTCACTTCCTTCATTAGGTTAATTTCTAGGTATTTGATTTTTTTATTCTATTGTGAATGGAATTGTTTTCCTAATTTCTTTTTCAATGTGTTCACTCTTGGTGTACAGAGATGCCACTGGTTTTTGTGTGTTGATTTTGTATCCTGCCACATTGCTGAATTTGGTCATTAATTCTAGGAGTCCTTTGGTGTATTGAAGGGCTTCATAAGTAGAGGGTCATGTCATCTGCAAAGAATGATACTTTAGCTTTATCCTTCTTATACACATCCCTTTTATTTCCTTCTCTTGCCTGATTGCTCTGGTTAATGTTTTGAGAACTATGTTGAATATTAGTAATAATGGATATCTCTGTCTTGTTTATCTTATTTTAGAGGGAAAGCTTTTAGTTTCTTCCCATTTAATATGATGTTGGCCATTGGTTTGTCATAAATAGCTTTTCTCTGATTGAGATAAGGGCCTTCTATACCTTTTTTTTCAGTATTTTTATTGTGAAAGTGTGTTGGATTTTGTCAAAGGCTTTTTCTGTGTCTTTTGAGATATCATGTAACTTTTATTCTTGCTTCTGTTTATGTGATGGATTATATTAATATTTGCATATGTTGGACCATCCCTTCATTCCTGGGATCAAGCCCTCCTGGTCATAGTGTATGGTCTTTTTGATGATTTGTTGCATTCTGTTTGCCAGTATCTTGTTGAGAATTTTTGCATTATGTTCATTAGAGAGATTTGCTTGTAGGTTCTCTTTTTTGGTTGGGTCCTTGACTAGTTTTGGAATCAGGATAATGTTAGCTTCCAAGAATGATTTTGGGAGTACTCCTTCCTTTTTTATTTCATTAAAGAGTTTGAAAAGTATTGCCATTATATCTTCCCTGAAGTTATTGTATTATCCAGGATTTTAGGTCTTTTTTGTCCAGCTTTGGTAATTCATATGCATTTAGGAATCTCTCCATTTCTCTTGAGTTCTCAATGTATTGGCATGCAGGTTTGTGTAGTACTTGCTAGTAATCTCATGGATTTCAGCAGTGTCCATTGTGATTTCACCTGTTTCATTTCT